CTTCCGATCTTTAGAAAAGAACGAAATATTTAGTAGGAATGCCTCGTTTTGCGTGACGAATAAGAAGGGGGTCAGCTGGGGAAAGATGGCTTTGCTTCCACAACCAGGTGTATCAACACTTCTGAAAACATGTTAAATTTAAGTTGTGTAGGCATTCCTAATTTGAGCGCCTTTGATTATTATTTTTTTTTTTTTACGCTTGACTTTGCAGTATCCTGTAAGACTGAATGTGGAGAAGGTGTTGCTGACTAAAAGGTGTTTCTTTTCAGCAGCTTTGTGTTTTCTTGTACAAAGTGGAAAACAGTCGTACCGTCCACGTAGCTGTAGTACTGCTGCTGTTCCTGGTGGGTGCCTCACTGAAGAGATGGTAGATTTTAGCTATTACTTTGTGACACGTATTCCAGTGCAGCGAGCAGCTCTGTAAGCGTTGTCAGGCCGCAGTTGTATTTGCTTAGGCGAGGGTTCCAGGACAACTCCAGACTTCCTAAAATGAGAAGCAGATGCTCTACTCTAGGAAATGGAAAATATTCTTCATAACTTTAAGATGTGGGAGGATGCAAATCTCTTGGAAGTTCAGGTATCAGACTGGCTGGGGACAGTCTAAATGGCAGTAATTCATTCTTGCTGATAATTACTTTCAGCTCACATTTCAAGCATCGGTACTTCTGTTAATCTGTGGGCAGGTTTTCTGCAGGTGGGGAAGAGGGATGCCTCTTTTTTGTTTGAATTTTCTCAGCTCTCAAGGAGAGCTTAAACATGGAACAAATTTCCCAAAGGCTAATTACTTACACATTTGTTTGTGGAAATTGACATCTTATGAAACTCTTCTAAAATGTGTGCAGTTGGATCTGAGTTTTTAGTATTAACTGTGTCAGTAATAAGACAACTTCTTTTTTCGAAGAGATTTATTTTTATATTTTTAATTATTGTGTGCAGAGGAGACTAAATTTTATTAAGCCTCTGCTCACACAGCTGTAAAGGGGAAAGAATGGTATATAAGGAGTGATGTTAAGAATTTGAGTTCTAATGTAGCAACAGCAGACCTGCAGTACATTTAAAGCATTTTTTTTGTGTCAAATTTTTTGGTAATTTATTTCACACCAAAACTATATATAATCCTACAAGTAATTATTACCTTCCCCTTCTTGTATTCCTACTTTCTCTTTGTTCCTTTTCCCTATTTCTGGTAACGGAAGAAGCAGCCTTTGACATGAAAAAATTTTTTCTGGTTTTTTTTTTTTTTTCTCCCGCCTTCACAGTATAAGTTCAGAGACCTGACCATAGAAGAACTAAAGAATGTTAGCAAGACCTACCCAAACTTCACATTCTCCATGAACACATACAGTAGGTGATACTGTTACTTTGAACTAATTCTGGTTCTTACTTGCCATGGATTCAGACTGTGTATAATAGAATCTAAATAGTGTGAATATCTTTCAGTTGTGTTCCTATCTTTCTTTTGACTTGCAGTAAAATTTCTCATGCCTTGTGACTATTTTTGAAAGTTCTTCCAAGAATGCATACATATAAAAACCTAAGTGACTCATTCACTAAATTTCATTTTATTTTAACTTGTTAGTAATTATAGAAGATTGATGTTCTTTTAAATTCTTTATAGGTAACAGCATTTTTCCCATATCCCATGACTGTACTGAAAGCATTTTGAGGTCTTTAGCTTATCAAGTATAACTTCCAGAAGCTCTCAGCCTGACTGAAAGTTCCTACAGCACCAGAATTACCCAGGACAAGGGATTTTCAGACTAACGATGTGCTTAGTTGTACCAATGCAATTTTCATTAAGATTCCGTTAAGGAATTATCTCAAAGGGAGAGGGGGGACCTTAGTAACATTTTAGCCTTGGTTCTTTCAGGAGCAGTGTATTTGATTTCTATAGAAAAAGTAATGTTGTATATTGGTAGTTGTGGATGGGATTGCCATGCCAGATTCAAAAGCATTTATTGTTGTTATTTTTTAAAATCACATTTTTAATTTCAGCCTTCAAGGATGGATCCCAGAAGGACCTCCTGAATTTTAGTGGTACTGTTCCAGTGAAATATGGTAAGATAAGTCAAATATGATTTCCTTACCGGTTATGAATCTAACTGTAAAATGTGTTGGGTATTGCCTCTTAACAATATACTGTGCAGCTTCTTTAAAGGTGGCTATAAAGGATTTTGCATGAATTGGCAGAAGCCACTTCTACTGCATAAACAAGTGTCTTCATACACTCATAGATGCTGAAATAAGGTGGTATTAGATAAGTGAGTTAACTATTAAAAAAATCATGTAGTTTGAGACTGTGTAGGCAAACTCTTTGGTTCTCATGGAGGCTGCGTGAATTCTGCAAGCCCTATGCTTATATAGGCAGTGTCCAAAAATAACTAGTAGGTAATTTTTTACTTTTAACTTAAAGCCTTTGAAGTCTGAGGTAAAGCTCTTAATAGATGCCTCTTTGCATCAGTTGTTGAGTCCTAAAATAAGTGTGAAATGGGTACCTGTAAGAGACTGCTTTGCCCAGAAAAGGGGACATGTTGGCCGATAGAATACCCTGGGAAACAAAACAACAAAGCTTTATGTTGAGAAAGACACAATCAGTAGCACTTCAAGTTGATCCAGACAAGTCTGCTTTTATTAACTAGCCTAAGTAACATAAATACTTTCCAGTGCGCATCTAGAAAATGATCTGTCAGGCTTTTTTTTCTTTGTTATTATGAAGTGTGAATCACATGCACACACGCCTGGTTTTTGGTGCCTCTTCTTAATGCAGAAGTTAGCAATGGCTTTTGTTTTGTGTTGAACAGGTAATTCCTATAACATACCTATTCATCTGTGGATTCTGGATTCTCATCCCTTTGCTCCCCCCATTTGCTTCTTGAAGCCGACTGTGAACATGGGCATTTCAGTGGGAAAGCATGTTGATGCTCATGGCAGGATTTATTTGCCCTACCTGCAGAACTGGAGCCATGTAAGAGGTGGAGTGGCTGACAGGGGAGGAAAGTATTTGGGAGCAAAGCATAGTATCATATGGAGAGGAGTGGGTAGGGTTCAGGGCTTTTTGTTTTCTGCATTTTTTGTTAATCTTAAATACGTAATGATTATGCAAAGAGAAGCAGAATGTTATGTCTCTTGAAATTATAGCTTTCAGACTGTCTGAAGCGATTGTAAAGGAAGTTATAAGTGACTGTAAGGAAAATTATATTAAGCTGAATGAAAAAGCTGACTTCCACATAAGCCTCATGTGGACCCTTTGATGCTTTTTCCTTTATTGCTGTGAGTAATGAATAATAATACTAGACCAACTGAGTATCCCTCAAGAAAATTCAATGAAAGTTCCTACCTTTTGGGTGTGTCTCTTTCAGCAGAACTCTGAAACGTCAGCATAGAGATTCAGAAGCCAACGCTGTTGCTAAATTATTTTATGCACTGTATTAAATAACTTACTTCAGTATGACTGCCGGGCCAGTAAAAATGATTTAATGAATGCTAGTTTTCTGAAATGGATAGGATATATTTTTCATTATTGATACAGAAATTCCCAGGATTTTCTTTACCTTAAGTGTTCATGTAAGCGTTAAGGGTGTCAATATTTATAATTTGATTGAATTTTGTATAGCTATGGTTCTTTATGAAACACTGCAGTTTACAGCTGATACCACTATTTAAAATAGCTGGTCAACCGTTTTGTCTTCTGTATTGCTATATTTCAGCCTAAATCAACTGTCATTGGATTAATCAAGGAAATGATTGCAAAATTTGAGGAAGAGCTCCCTTTGTATTCACTGTCATCTTCTGATGCAGCCAGGCAAACGGAACTTCTCTCCTACATTGCAAAGATTACTGAAGGTGTGGATGTTTTCATTTATTTGTTTGTAATGTTCCTACATAATATCTGTTTTATTTATTGTTGTTACTTGATATCACAAAGATGCCTACACAATTCTAATATCTGAATTTTTGGTGTTTGCATGTCCACAGCGTTTGGTGGACAATATTTCTCTGTATAATCAAAAGTGCCTCTTTTCGAACCAAGAGCTCAGATTCTCTTTATTCGAATAGGCAGCTCATTTTCCGTGTTTGCATTTAAACCTAAAAGACTCCACCTAAAATGCTCTAGACTTCGTACTACTCATTTGTTGGAATTTACTGCAGCAAAAGTGTGAGATCTTTTGGAAGGGAAATCTGATTTTATTATAAACAAGTTGTTTTTACCCAATCACAGTCATTCATTCTCTCAGATCTCATTCGCTCACACTCTCACATCCACAGTCGCAAGCCCTGAGACCCGTCTGACCACAGTCACTGGTGTGCAACACTGAGGACGAGGAGTGTTGGCTGTTGAGCCCATATCATGTCTCTTGGGTTCTTGTTCAGTGGTGACAAGCTGATTTCGGACTTGTCTTTTATACCCTTCGGGAGTGGATGCTATTTGGCATTTTTGCCTGATTACTTTATCTCACCCATTGTAAGTCTTGGGCAAAATTCCTGAATTTCATAGTTCTCATGTTTCCCTTATCTGGGTATTTTATGGCTCCAGTCCTGTTGTTCTTCATCCTGACTCATTTTCTTCAGGTCAGTCTTTTCTTCTTCCTTCTTTTAGTGGAATCACAGATGGTGATCTGTGGCAACTAGTGCAAACCTTTTCCTTTAACTCTTTTCTACTGATTCTTCTGGTAATTGTGTACACGTACGTGCTTGTGAGCACACGTGTGTGTGTGCACACGGTACATGTTTCTAATCAATCAATCAATGTTTCTGTTACTAATCTCTCTGCATTATACTCAGAATGAGAATCGTTGTGTTACCAGTAGCATTGGCTAACGAACCTCAGATCTTTGTATTTTAATCAAATTCCATTTTGCATGTCTTCTGAAAATACAAAATATTTTACAAATTTTATGACCATGACATATATTCACACCTATAACAGTAGCAAAGGGAGTATTGTTTCTATGGTCTTATTGTCTAGCTTCTTGATGTTGTTATACTCGTATTTTCTACTTAGTGAAAAAACATTCCTATCCAGAGAGGAACATTTGTGTGTTATACCTTGCAAATTGTGATGAATTTTCTGTGGTCAGGCTCAACCGCTATTTTGAAAAAGTTTATGTACTTTGGTTTAGCTCTGGCACAACCGTGATCTCGAAGTAGCAATACTTGTATTGATACAGTATGGACCAGCACTTAAGTTTGTGGTTTTCTTTTAATTGTAGGAGAGACTGACATGAAATCAAAGAGTAAAATTGGTGGAGGTAAAAATGAAGGATGTTTTAACAAAGTTACTGTTGTTGGAGCTGGAGATCTTGGCATTGCATGTGTGCTAGCAGTTGCAGCAAAGGTACATAATTATTATAAATAGCAACAGACCTGATTAATAGAGAGGCTTCCAACCTAGTTCTTAGTGTCTGACACACAGAAATAACTCAACAGTTTTAATAGCCGTGTCACTGCTTATGTCATTTGCCTCTTCAGTTAACTTATGGACACACAGAAGTGTTAGTTTCTGCCTTGTTTTCTCAGTCAGCTTTTTAAATACAAAGGGTTGAATATTGGATTCACTTACTTTGAAAATCCTTAGTTAACTAAGGATTCTTGCCTGAGCAGTGGCCTCTTAGAGTTGGGATCTCCTAGTCCCCTGGAAAAGGATAGTCTGTAGATGGTCTGTACTTCACTACGGCTATATGCTCAGAGACAACAGTAACGTCAACATTTATAACTTTCCAGAGGTGGTTTTGTGAGTTTTTTACTTGTTTGTTTTGTAATGAGTCACTTTTCAATTAAACTCACTAAATTCTTTTTCTTGTGATTTGACAGTAATTTTGGTCAGTAATTTTGTTTGTTTTATACACAGTAGAACAAACACTGGAATTGGAGGAATACTTTTTGTTATTCCTCACCTCCACAAGAACAAGTTTTAATTTGGTTTATTGTTGATCTGCATTATCTTTATTCATACAGGGTGCTGCAGACAAGGTGGTTCTTTTGGATCTTTCTGAAGGTGCAGCAAAAGGAGGGACCATGGACTTGGAGATCTTTGCTCTGCCAAATGTGGAGATCAGCAAAGGTACTAGATGATGTTGCTGGAATGGGAGCGAGTACTGTACTGTGTGTGATTGTGCTCGTTTTAATGAGAGCAGGACACCTGGGGAGATACGGATGCTCCAGATGCTCCGGCATATAGGCCATATTTTTAAAAAGATGTTATCTTTTCATAGCTTCTTGCTTTTCTTCATCTTTTCAGGGCAAAATTGGGAAGGGAAGGTTCAGCAAAGCTTCCATCTTTTTTATTTCAGGCTTTTTTCATTCTGCTTATAGAGGTAGAGGTATGCGAGTCTGTACTTCCAGGGTAAGAGGCTAATGCTGAAATTGGACTCGTGCAGAAACAGAGAGAAGCCAAGCTGGTACTTCAGTGTCATAGGTGGAGAGTGGGAAGGAAGGGGGGAAAAAATACATGTATGTTAGGGAATTCGAGATAGCTGTGAGAGCAGTGTTAAAACGGCTGATAAATAAAGGTAAGTTTCAAACTACTGCTTTCCTAGGTTGATGTTCATTAAACATGCACATGGCCAATAATTAGTTCTTCATCATTATCACTGCATATTCAAACAATTTTGTTCTTAACAATCTTGTCCTTAATTAGCTGTGAGTGTACAATTCAACAGAGTCGATGCCAGGTCTCCATAGTTAGTGGTGATGGTCTTCGTTGCAGAGGTTGAGGTGATGCAGCTCGAAAGCTCTTCCACAGGGGAAGCTGGAACTGTATTGAGCAACTTTCCTATTCTTCCTTGCTTGTCTGTGGTGGTTTTATGTCCCTTGCGCCTCCTGCAAGATGAAATGGGGGGTTTTCTTGTGCTGCTGATGTAATTTATCTTATTTCGGGGACAGGGACTTGTTCTGGTTCCGCCAGGCATCTTATCTGCTTATTCTGTACCCGACATTGCCTGCTCTACATCCTTTGATCTTATCTTGCAGGTTTTACTGCTAGCACATTTTTTCCTGAACCCTGGTTATGCAACTGTACCACAAATCTCTGTTTGTGCCTTTGTGGTTACCTGTTGCATATTTACATGTAGCTGTGGTACAAAAAGCTTATATGTTGTTGCTGGCTATGCTATTAGCAGTGTTACAATATTACAAAATGCTTACACACTGTCACCTGTTATTTCAGTATGCTTATATCTAGGTTTGGGGCAAGGTGGTATTAATTATATCCTCCTTAGTACACTTCCAATTTGTCAGTGCACTAGGCCTCTGCTTTGGCTTCAGCTGGTTCCAGAAGTGGTGTGACAGTCAAATTACCTTGTTTCTGTGTCTAAGCTGATCACCTGTATGGTACTCAGATATTCAGAGTTACCTGTTCAAGGCAGCTTTGACTTACGAATTTCTGCAGCAAATGTAGTTGTATGTTTCCTTGGGCTAATAAATACATGTCTTTTATTTGAGTTAATAAATAGACTTTTGGAACACTTCTATGGTTATCTACACGTCCTTGGTTGAGCTATAAGATCAAAAATTATAGAAGCCTCAGATAAAGGAGTAAATGTCTTTCCCCTTCTTTAAAAACAGGAATAAAAATGAAGGAGCTTTTTCATGGGTGTATTTTTTTCTCTTTCTTGCCAAGAAAACTTGGAAAAGCTTATCTGTCAGCTCCATCTAGATGTTTTCTGGTCTGTAACCTTGGACAAATTGCAGTCTGCCTTCTGTGTTTGCCAACTATGAAACAGGAAAAGTAGTTCTGTGGGAGAGCTGTGTTTTACAGGTGCTGTGGAAGTGCCTCAAATTCCACATTGGGGGATACAGGGGGAGACAGGAGGGGAAGAATCTGTAACTAAGCTGGATGCTGCAGTTCAGCCTTTAGGACAGCTCTTTGTTTTGCATCCAAAACTTGATAGAATGACATAAATTTTCAAAACATATTTTCTTTATATTTTCAGATTTTTCTGCTTCAGCTGATTCAAAAGTTGTGGTACTTACAGTTAATTCTCTGGGTAATGCTCAGACTTATCTTGATGTCATACAAAGCAATGTGGATTTGTTCAGAGGAATTATCCCAGCAATATCACACTACAGTCAGAACGCTGTTCTCCTTGTTGCTTCTCATCCAGGTACGTTGGTACTTAGCCTAATGTTCTATCCCTCAGCTGGCTTTCTCTTTGGCCTGTTTTAAAAATACATTACTGCTGAATACGCCCACTTAGGCAAAAATTTTTGCTACTCTGAAAGATGTTTTCCTTTTCAGCTTTGAGCAGGACACTGTCTTTGAGGGTTTTTTCTTTACTATTACCAAGATAAAAGAAAATAGTATACTTTGTTTTGTATAAAAGGTATGTATTTCTGTATGTAGTTTCCACCTGACTGTATCTACAGATTAGCATCCATTGGCTGTTGTCTTGTCAGTTGTGAGTTTTATGTATACGTTTCTCCTGTGCAGTAAGGATAGATGCATGTGTGTTATGTGCCATATGATCAGACTCACAGACTACTAATATACATAATGTAGTGTTGATAGTAAATATCGCAGCTATGTTGTGGTGGAAAGTTTTTAAAGCTGTTGGGTCAGTGATATTGTGAGCTAAGACAGAGGAAAAACACTACTTAAAAGGGAAAGCAGTATGCGTGAGCCTCTGTCCTGTAAACGCACTGATGACAGCCCTTTTCTGTTTCTCAAGTGCTTCTTACCCTTCCTATTATTTAGAGCTGTGGAAATGAAAAAAAGAATGCTTGCCAAAGGAAAAAAAAATTAAGCACTGGCTGAATTAAATGTAGAAGCATGTGAGATTTTTGGTAGAGGGAAGCATGGTGACTTATTCTGAAGTTTCACTTCTCTTAGAACTGTACTTGAGCTGTGAATTTTCTTCATCTCCTCCCCACTTCATTTGGTGGTTTAGGTTGAAATAAACTACTGAGACGTTCTTACATGCTTATACCTTTTCTAAAGTAAACCACTTGGTCCTGAGTTTTTCGTAATTGTGATTCGTAGTTTGCCGTTGTGTTGAATTTTGAGTGGTCCTTCATTGTCAACATATTTTTCTTTCATATATAGTTGAAGTGATGACATATGTGTCGTGGAAGCTGAGCGCGTTTCCCAAAAGCAGAGTTATTGGAGTAGGTGCCAACCTAGATACTGAGAGATTTCAGTATATACTGACAAACCTTTTGAAAGCAGAGGTACTGGCAAAAAATGCTTGGATTATTGGTGAACAAGGGGAAGACAAAGGTAAAGTGATACTTTATTATGACTATGAGTGTATAGTCTCCTGGCAGTGCTTAAGTAGTTGAGTAATGAAGGAATAATTGAGAAAAGTAATGAAGGTAATCATGAGCAGGGTGGTAGATTTTCGTAATGAAGGTTCTAAATAATACAGTTTTGGTGCGTGCCGCAGACTGTAGACCTGGAGTGGTAGCAGAAGTATTTGACATTTGTCACAATGAAAAAAAAATATAGAAAATACAACCTCAAATGCTTTTTATTTGGTATAACAATATATGTTAGAGGTACAGAAAGAGGAAGGAAATGTGGTATAATATATGGTTACTGCTAATGTAAGAATTATTACATATTACTTCATTTTTAAGCAAGTGTCTCTGGCCAGGTGCTACTATAGAGTTTATTTCAGCAGTGCAGGGAATGTTAGAAGGTCATCAACTACATGTGGGTTGTTGTTGGGGGAGGAAAGTTTGGAAAGCTTGAATTTTTTTAAATTATTTTTTTTCTTCTCCCCACCTTACTTGGTACCTATTTTAGTCACTGTTTAGATGTGTATTTAAACGTTGGATGTTTCTCTTTAGTACCATCATGGACCAGTTGTAACTTAGTTGTGAATCAAACAGAAGCAATGGCTCCTTGTAACTCAAAGGAAAAGGTGGCTAACAGGTAATGCCATTATAATCTTAAAATTTTTTTCTTCATGTTTAGGCCCTTGGTGTTTGCAGAGTTTTTTCCTTCAGCTCTTCACGAAGAGGAGGAGTTTTGCTCTAAAATGCTTGCACATTGAATTTATAGGAAATTGTAGGTCTGAGTGTCACTCACTTTCATATATGTGTATATCCCTGCTGTTTTTCTGAAGTTCTCAATAATATTGTGTCTGTGGTGATCTAAGGACAAGACAAGCTATGTAGAATATACACTAGAATATTAGAGCTGCCCGACTGTGGTTTAAAAAAAAACCCAGTAGACAAGCCTTCTGGCACACTTTTCTCGGAGCTTGTGTGGAAGCAGTTTATTTCAAAGCAAAGTACATATTTGGATCAATTTACCTGATTTAATTAGTCACATATCAGTTACACCTCTTGACAGAAGAGAGAATTGTTACTAGTGCGGGTAAAATATACATAAAGAAATTCTTTAAAGCAATTCTTAATTCCCTTCTGTTGTTTTCCAAAACAGAGAATCATGTTTTTATAGTACACTTTACCTGATATGGTACACTTAATCTGTCTTTTGGCTTTTACATATAAACCAAAATAGGAATAATTAAAATCTAAACATCACATTTTTCTCCTTTTCCTGGTTTATGTAGAGCTATGGAAGTTCTAAAGGGAAAAGGTCAGAGATCCTGGTCTGTTGGGCTCTCAGTTGCTGATTTGACTGACAGTATACTGAAAGATAAAAGGAAGGTTCATTCTGTATCCACTCTGGCAAAGGTAAATGTGTTATTAATATCTTTTGGTTGGCACTGTAATTATATTATTTATCCTGGATATGACCATTAATTTTAGCAGCACAGTCATCTCACTTGAAGTAACTGTTCTGAAGTAGCACTACTTCTGTTACTTTCTTCCAACTTTCAATTCTAGTCCAAAAATGAGCAAAAATCAATTCTTGTGTTAATCTGAAACCAATATTAAAAGTGGATTATTATTCCAAAAATACAGGAGTCCAGAGGTAAAAATACATTCGAGGTTGCTGACCAGCTCCCCCGGAATAGCTGGATTTGGCAAATGAAGAGAAATGTGTGTGTTGCGACTTCCAAGTACTGAGTATTGAATGTAGATTCTTGCAGGGGCCAAAAGAGTTCAGTATCTTTTATGAAAACATAAAATGCATTTTCTGCCAGTATTTTATTTGACCAGCTTTGAAACAGCTGCTTTTTTACTCCTTGATACTTTACGTTGAGGAGAATATCATGAAGCTATATTTAACTTTAAACAAGATTCAGTCTACAATTTTAAGTTTATCTTAAGAAGCTTCATTAAAGCATTAAGTCATTTCATATGAGGGAAAAACCCATGTAGAAACATTTACTGGTCACTTGTATTTACAGGCTTCAGAAGGGTGATTTGCATGTCCCAGTGCAGGAAAGCTGAGCAGCCTGCTTATTGTATCAAGTACAGACGTACACCTAATTTCATCATTACATTTTCAAGTAAAGTTTTTGATCGTTTATGAACTGAATGCAGATATAAAGTGACAAGTGTCTTACACTGCGGAGTAACTACAGAATGTAAATTTTCCCATACAGATCCTAAAAATAAACAAAATCTACAGTGTAAACTTGAATTATAGGGATATAAGTTTAATGAAGTCTCTCAAGGAATGAATGTGAGATCAATACTTGAAAAATATTCCCTGGATAGCTCTCTTTGGCTGCATTTTTTAGTTTCTTTTGGTCCTGTACTATCAAGTGTCCCTGCTTGTTCTACCTAAGAAGGTGGTTAAATAGTGTTTTGTAGTATAAGCTTTGCCTGCATTATAGAGGTCTGATATATCTATACTGGGAACTCCTCCAAGTGTGACACAGTTCAAGATTTTTTTAAATATATATTTATATATATATATATATATATACATTTTTACAGCAATATTTTACAGTTTCTATACAGTAACCCATTGCAAAGGATCTAAAATAACTGGGATTTGACCTATACAAAACATGCCATATGATGGAATAACCTTGCTTAATTAAAATAATCAAGTTATTTTGTGTAGCTCCATGCTTCAGACAGAGCAGAAATAAGTAACTGTGTGACAGTTGTCTTTGTGTGTTGTTTCAGGGATGTTGCAATGTAAACAGTGAAGTATTCTTAAGTCTACCATGTATTCTTGGAACCAATGGAGTGATTGAAATGGTCAAACTAGAAGAAGATCCACTAGTGCAAGAGAAACTGCAAAGCAGTGCAGGATCAATTCATGACCTTCAGCAGCAACTGGAAGTGTAAGCAAGCACGAGGGAAGGCACAGTGTCTGCCCAGAAAAGTCGAAGACTTGCTAGGCAGAAGGGGTTGCTTGGTATATATGGATTTCTATATAAAACAAGAAGGTTTTTTATTTTACCTTTAAAAAGTGCCTTCTCCATTTTGGTTTAAATTATTTAATACTGCACTGCACAGTAATTTCTTATTTGAAAAGTGCACTTTTGGTAGCCAAAGTGAGGAGGGTAATGTGCAAGAATGTTTTACCGAAATTCAGGTGACATTTGCCTGTGTTTTTTTGTTGCTAATTATAGCCTGATGTTGTGGTTTAACCTGATTCTTGGGCTATTCTTACCTCTTTGCACTTCATTAGGACATAGTCTAGGAGAGCAGCTTACCCAGCTCTGTGGAAACTCCAGCGTGTAGAGCCAACTAGAACTTTTCCTCCTGGCTTTTAAGTGCTGCATCGGGGGCTTGTCTAGAATACAGCCACGCTCCAGCTCTTCAGGGCACTGGGGGATGCAGTTTGATAGCTCCATCTTTCATGCCTGTCACAGATGCTCTTATGCCAAAGGACTCCTGCTTACTCTTAAGGGGAACAAAAGCTAAAAGCATGATGTTAGCAGTATCTTTCAAACCTGAAGTATTGCATATGAATTTCCGTTGTATGTTTACTGATGTCTGAGACTTTCCGGTCATGACTTGCTCTTATTTTCTAAGGACGGTTCAGAGCACTAAAGCATCTGCAGTTTTTGGTACATACGTGCAACGCTCTTACCCTGTGCAGCATTGGAACAGGTGCCCTTCCTGAAAGGGCGGAGCAGGGGGTGGGCTTCAAATAAAGTATAAAATCTGACAGTTAAGTGATGCAGAAGTATCTGCGAGTTCAGGCCTTGATCCAAAGCCAGCTGATGTCGTAAGCTTTACACCAGCCTGAGGAGAATACAGCTTCTTGAGAAGGCAACAGAACCTGTAACCCTCCTCGGGGGAGGCCAAGGATGTGGTGAAAAAGCAGGATGTGGATTTTTAGATAAACCAAAAAGCAGATGGTTTTTTAAGGTAAAGGTTTTTTGGGGGTTCTAAACCCTTGATTCATTGCACTGGTAAAAGACTGTATTCATCCCGATTATACCTCAGCATCACGATGCAGTCAGAGGAGACGTGGGCTCCACTCCTCCTGCGTGCAGCGGAAGAATGTCGTGCCACGTTTACATTTTGAGGTGTGACTGGTTAAATATTGATGAAGCAGTTTCTAAGCAAAAGTAGGATATGTGTCAGAGAGAAAGATCTATTTCTTTGTGCCTTCTGATTATCTCTCTCAAGGAGCCAGACTTACAAGGAATTCTGTGTTTATACTGATCTCAGAATTAAGATAAAAATAGAAAGGGAAAAAAACCTTCAGTAATTCAGATTTTTTTTTTTTCATAGAATACTCAATTTCCTTCTTTGTGGTTGTCAGTGATAGGACAAAATTAGTGATGGCTGCAGGTGATTAACTTTGCTGCTATATTAAAAAGCACCCAACACTATGGCTGGACTTTGGCATTGTTTTTTTTTCTCTTACTTTGGAAAAAACGGTGTAGAATTACGGTTTTACATTGTTCTTCTTCAAGGTGTTGTGCTTAATCTGTTGAGCATTTATTCTCATGTGAATAGTCCAGGTGTTTTGTTTATGGGGGGGTGGGTTAATAGTTTTAATCATAAAAAGCTGCAAACTCTTCCAGCGCTGTCTTTTAGATTGATGCTTATGTTATAAAATAACTAATCTTGGCTCTTTAGAAGAAACGTCACTCTTGTGTTTGCGTTGTATTCGTTGGAAAATAACCCCAGGATGGCAGCGTGATCAGCGTGGTGGGAAACGGCACTTCACCTTCTCACGGGAAGTTAATCTCCCAAAATACTTGTTAACAATAAACTGCACTACAAACAATCCGGGTGACGTTTTGTGAAGTGTTTTTGATGCACAACGTGTACCGCTAGAGGGGGGCGCTGCGGGGGGGTGTCTACAGGCGGGG